GGCCTCGGCCCCGGGTTTTAAAAAGGGGGGGGGGGGGACCCCCCAAAAAACCCACATCCAGTTCAGTTCTTGTTTTGTTAAGAATGGGGGGGGGGGGCGCATTTATTTGGGGTTCCTGGTTTCTTTTTGGGGGGGGTTTGGGGATTTTTTGGCCCGGGACCCCGGCTCAACCCTTTCCCCGGCCCCCGGGGGGGGGCCCAGGGTCCCCAAAAATTTCCCCCCCTTTCAAGGGGGGTGCCCAAGAGTTGCAAATTTTTCGGAAAAAATGGAACCCAAACCCTCAAAGGGCCCCCCGGCCTTCCAAGGGGGGGCCTTTCCCCCCCCCCCCCCCCCCCCTCCCCCCCGCTCGACGTGCTTACTTGACTATTAGCGGCGAACCCTTCACACATTTTCTGTCTGGCGCGTCTTTGTAAGGATGCGACAGCAGTCTGCCAGCACAACGACCCCCTTCCCTTCCCCTCCCCTCCAAAGTTTGGACACGTCTTTCGGGAGGGATACACAACGGTGCTCTCCCTCCTCTCGAGAGTGGAGGCGCGATCATTTGTCATTGACGATCACAACCAGCCATCAAGTCCTTTCCGTGCCCCCCCCCACACACACACCGAACCCAGGTGCAATTTCCGCTGCTAAATTACTACGCATGCGTACAGTTTTTTTTTTTTTTTAAAGGCGGCAGGTTAATCCTTCTTCTTCCAGTTGGACAGCCAGCCGCCCCCTCGCTGTCGAATGTGGGTCCCTCCCACGAAGCCCTCCCCTGAACGAACAAAAGGGTAACAACAAAGCGCAAAAGAACAGCGCGGCAAAAGCGCCCACCGTTAATGTTGGTGCGAGGGCGCACGTGGGGGCGCGATGGTTGTTTGGGGGGGGGCACTATGCAGTGAAAGGGCCGCACACACCGCGGGAGCTAGGGAGAGGACCTGCTGGCTCACGGACGAGCCTAGCATACAGTACACAACGTCAATAATTAAAGGGAAAACGACACAACAGGGTAAACCCTGGTCGAAAAGCGACACACCTGGGTACACAGTCATTAACAGCAGTAAATGCACTCATATCATTGGTCAGCGCCCAATTTCACCCCGGTGCGTCCGAAAAGGCGCAGGGTGTACCCTGCCGTGACTACTTTTCTCAGCAACTGTACCCTGTTTTCGGAAATGTACCCTGACCTGACGGGAAAAGAGACCCTTTCATCAATCATTTCCCCCGCAGGAATCTTCCCAACTCCTTTTCCCCTCCAACCATGGGATACCAAACGGCGAATCTTCCCGCCGAATAACAACCATGGCAACGGGGCAGGAATCAGTTTCCGCCCCTGCGGAACAACACCAACCATCAACTCTTCCGCTCTAAATCAACAATGGCCGGCCAACACCCTAACACAATTGTTCCGTTTGGAAACATATACACACGCGTACAATACCCCGTGGACTACTGCTTGCTGCAGTCTATATGCAAGATGCACGGGTCACGCTATGAAAGCGAGACCGATCCAGCATGGTTGACATATATATGCATGTGTGCGTGCGTGTGTTGTCTGTTGTGTCTCAATTGCGATGTGTTTCTTGCTTGAACTACTGCTGTAGCAGCAGCGGTCACGCTTACCAGTCAACCAAGCCGACCAATCAATCAATGTAGTAAGAAGACGTCAGGCTTCAGCGGGATGCGCCGATGAAATACAACGCGAGCACTCTTTCGTCTCTCTACCGACAGGGAGGGTGATTGAGTTGAACGACACAGCAGTGTCCTGCTGCTAGAGTAAGGATAAGACTCGTGTGTGCGTGATTGATGTCAAGGGCATGTCTGTGTGTGCTAGTCCTGCCTCTCCCCTCCACCCTCTCTGCGGGCGCGAGCTCGCCGCCAGCACAGCGCCACACATCGGCACATGCATATGCATGTCAACCAAGCTGGATCGGTCTCGCTTTCATAGCGTGACCCGTGCATCTCGCATATAGACTGCAGCAAGCAGAAGTCCACGGGGTATTGTACGCGTGTGTGCATGTTTCCAAACGGAACAATTGTGCTGGGGTGTTGCCCGGCCATTGTTGATTTAGAGCGGAAGAGTTGATGGTTGGTGCTGTTCCGCAGGGGCGGAAACTGATTCCTGCCCCGTTGCCATGGTTTGTTGTTCGGCGGGAAGATTCGCCGTTTGGTATCCCATGGTTGGAGGGGAAAAGGAGTTGGGAAGATTCCTGCGGGGGAAATGATTGATGAAAGGGTCTCTTTTCCCGTCAGGTCAGGGTACATTTCCGAAAACAGGGTACAGTTGCTGAGAAAAGTAGTCACGGCAGGGTACACCCTGCGCCTTTTCGGACGCACCGGGGTGAAATTGGGCGCTGACCAATGATATGAGTGCATTTACTGCTGTTAATGACTGTGTACCCAGGTGTGTCGCTTTTCGACCAGGGTTTACCCTGTTGTGTCGTTTCCCCATAATTAAAACTTCGCTTGTCTTGTTATTTGATCGACGAGAACACCACCGGGATTCGTCATCGCAAGGGGAGACATCCCTTTACAGTATCTATGCCACCAAAGGTACCAAGCGGTGTGAGTGTGAGTGGGAACGAACAGGAAAACACTGACCCTGCTCATCGGTTCCAGTGTTGAGTGCACGAGAGTGCGACAATAAAACAGAATAAAAAAGGGTGATTCGAACGTGGACTGAAAAGGAAGTGTAAAAACTTGTCTGGAAAAACGTTCACGAGGTGTGTGTGTACTTGTCTGTCTTGTGTGTATGTGGCCTCGTTTAGTCTGGACAAGCAACTTTTTGACAGCTTTCCGGCGCTCTTCTTCTGAACGCACCAGCCTGGGCCACACAGCAGTGACAAGGTGGCTTTGATTTCTTCAAGCGAAAAAAAAAAAAAACGAAATCGTCCCAATGCCTGCATGCGAATTCAGGCAAAAAACAAACAACAACTCGTTTTCGACACTTAACGACGAAGCTTCGAGCGACCCTCCTTCCGTCCTCTTCACTGGGAACCTCCGGGACAAGACGTCGACGCAGCAGCGGGGGTGTAATGACTCAAATCTTGCACGCCTTGGCGGTTAGACGGTTGGCCATGCGTCCTCCCGAGAGGACGGACCGCTCCCAGCAAGACCGAATTACCGGTGATGGGCCAATCTGCCACTTCCTACTTCGCCAAATGTGGCTCGAAAATGTTTTCCCTGCCCTATCTACACAACTTCCCCCCGAATCAGCCCGCTTCCCATGCCACCCGACGCAACAGCGGGGAGCGAGCAACTGGGCGACTCGAGAGACAGGGAGGCAAGCCTCGACGCAGAGGCAAGCCCTCCAGACAAGAGCAAGCAGAGGCAACGCCGCGCGCGCACCTTCCTTCGTACCCTCCTTGACGGGGGCCTGCCTCCGTATTCGCTCGTACTCCTCCTCCGTGCTGAAGCCGAGCTTCTCGAACTCCTCCCGCGCCATCAAGTTCCTACGCATGTTTTACGTTCAGGCAAACGTGACTTCGATTCAAGAAGACACCATAAAAGAGGGGGCCTCGACAAAAAAGGGTACAATGTAAGAGGGGGGTCCCTTATATGAGGGTACGTTACGAGAGGGGGCTCCGAATTTAAGGGATCCGAAATCGGTTGTCACGGACTCGACCCGCTGTAGAATGGGTGGGTACGCCTTTATTTCGGTATAAGAGCGGGCTCCGATAGAAGAGGGCACGTCATAAGAGGGGGCTCCGATATAAGCGGGTACATGTCACGAGGGGGCTCCGATATTAATGGGCCGAAATCGGTTGTCACGGACTCGACCCGATATACTAGTATGCTTGAGTACCCTCTCATTCCGGCATAAGAGGGGGCTCCGACATTAATGGGCCGGGGGCCTTTGCCACACCACCCTCTTACAAGCAACACGTGCGAATAGTACCAATGGCCGGGCATTTTCTCGTGTACGTGCGTGCGCCGTGTGCAACAACAAAAAAGTGTACGCACCCGCGCGACCGAACTGAAGAGGAGAGGGACGCACGGTAGCCCGAGCCAAGAAAACCGCAGCTACAACACCAAAACAGACGAAACACGACAGCACACCCAAGCAAAGCCAAAGTCAATCCAGCCACAACCACAAGCAATGCCGTCGGGGATTGGCCAGGAGACGAGGGTGGGGGCTGAGGCGTGAAAATTACAGAGAGCCGTCAAGAGATAGCATCGGTGCTGCTACCTTTTCCACCGACACACGCATTCCCACGGGAATAGCGGGGCTTGGCTTCTGGTGCACGCGTGCTCCACTGTGATGTATCTTTTGTCGACGCACTAGACACTAGACACAACAGAGTTGGGAGCCAAGCAAGGGTGCACCTAGTTCATAGTCGAATACATGGCAGCCGACCTCTGAATCTTGCAAATCCCAAGGCTCTCTACGTGCCATTCTTCGCGGTCCTAGCCGGACCCCCCCTCTTAGCGCGTGAGCTCCACGTTGTTTTCGACACACTGTCAGTCGAATCTACCGGCGGCAGTCTACACTCATAGGCTCTCCCTCTCGTGCTGCCACCACACCCGCCAAGCCCCATCAACAAATGGCATCCTAAGCCCCCACCTGTCCATTCGGCACGCAAGGTAGAGCTTCGACAGGCTCTTGCACGGCAGGTGGTCACTGTCGTGTTTCTTGAGGCAGGCGAGGAAGGCCTGTGCCGGCCAACACGCGTTAAAAAGTATTGCCGTAGCCGAGAGCGTGAAAGTATCACACAGGGAGGAGGAGCGGGTGCAAAGCGGGGGAAGGCAAGGAGAGAGAGGGAGGGACAGACAGACAGACAGACAGACAGAGACAGAGAGAAACAGACGGAGAGAGAGAGACAGAGACAGAGACAGAGACAGAGAGAAACAGACAGAGAGAGAGAGAGAGAGACAGACAGACAGAGAGAGAGAGAGAGAGAGAGAGAGAGAGACAGACAGAGAGAGAGAGAGAGAGAGAGAGACACACAGAGAGACAGAGACAGAGAGAAACAGACGGAGACAGAGAGAGATAACACGCAGACAGACAGACAGACAGACAGACAGACAGACAGACAGACAGACAGACAGAGCGAGACAGAGACAGAGAGAGACAAACAGACAGACAGACAGAGACAGACAGACAGACAAGAGGCAGGGGCGGGGTGGGTTGCGGCTAGTGATTTTTTTTTGGCACGCCTCCAAGTTTCAAGATTAATTAAAGTGTTCGTGGTCGGACCGACAAAAAGAGAACACTTTGGCGCATAGGGTACCGTCCAAGCCAGCTTGCTGTGTACTATGTACTACAGCAGTCGTTGGTCGACCCCCCCACCCTGGGTAACAAACACGACTCTCGAGCTGCAAATCCAAGACGTTTCGCCCCCAAAACATACAAGGGCAAACGCGAGGAAAGGGGGCTGGGGGTGGGCTTTCTACGTTGTATTGTAATCCGGGGACGTTTGACTGCTATCCCAGGGCTAGGGGTAAAGGAGCATACAATTTTCATCCTGGATGGGTCCTCCTGTACTAATTCCTATATAATCCAAAACTGGGGTGTGAGCAGCGAACAGGCGAAAATATAAGGGTACATCTGGATTGCAGCCAGCATGTTACTATTATGCGTAGGAACGGTTGGATTCATGCTTGCGTCTCACATACCGAACCGTCTCACATACAAACGATTCCGAACCACACGGTATTGCACCACAGAGAGTTGACAGTTGACAGTGATTTAAGGAATAATAAAAACACACACAGAAAGACTACCCATTCGATTCGAGCTATACCCACAGCAGTCGAACGGGATGTGGTGTGATTTGCGCAAGTATCTGTTCAGCAGCAAGCGGGTCAGTGTGAGTGCTCTGGCGCGTCTGTCTGTTACGAACTGCGACCCCGACTGATTCTTGACTTGTGTGCACAACATTGTCAACGCACGCACAGGTACGGAAAGAAAGAGCGGGTTGAGAACTACGTATGGGCGTACAGGCTTGGACACAGGCTGTTGCGAACTGCGAACTAAAGCTATCCGGAACCGAACCCTCGTGCTGTGTGTGCTACTGCGGCGTTATTGCATCGTTGCCGCTCGGGCCGAAGTTCAACATTCTCCGCGATCCCACCGCAATACGCTGAACCACGTTTCCCTAATACATGTAATCCCGACACATCATGCTGATATCCGACCTCTTTTCATGCGATTGATCAGAGAGCGTCTTCAGCACTTCGAGAATCCGCATTGCTTGCGTTGTCGATGTCAATACGCCCATACTTCATTGGCCGAACATGACAAGAGCACCACAACCGGCTCCTTGTTTTACATGCAGCGATCACACAGAGCAGGCGCACCTCAGGAGTAGTCGCGTTCGGGGTTCATACCTTCATATGCGGCTTGCACTCGCCGCCATGGTCAAGTGGAAATGAGCCCTTCTCTGGAGCTCTGGCCCCCTTGGCAGGTGCTATCGCTACCATCGTCCAGCGCCGTCACTCTGGGAAGTGCGTCTGCCAGATGTACGGATGTATTCAGCTCTCACCTACGGAGTCCCCGTCCCTCCGTGAAAACAAACGTTAGAAACTGCGTGCCCCCAGCGATGCCAGAGAGAGGAAAGAAGAGGAACAGCTGAGCTCGTGCAGTCAGGTGCAGCTCAAAGCTCACGCGTACACGACAGCGGGTGTGCCTGCTCGCTGCTGTACACTGTGTGTCTTGCACGAAGCCATCGCAGTGGTGCCTGCTTGAGTTCAGCCCTAACGTGACTGGGTTGTTCCCACCCAACCGAGTGCACGGAGCATCTGTACCCGCCCTGTGAAAAAAAAGAGTGTGATTCATCAACTGACAATTCAAACAAGCGCTGCTCTGCTACTGCTGCTGTGGCCTGACAACAGCAGCAACGGCCGACACATGGCGATAGACACCAACGACGACTCCAGCGCCGCAGCCGCCGAGATGGAGGACTCCCTGCGGTCGCTGGTGCAGTACTACCTCGAGAACCTGATGCACGCCAACGCCACGTTCCTGGGCGAACGCCTTGTGGCTTGCAACCCCAGGGAGGAGAACGTGCTGCTCCTGGCCACCTGCCACGTTATGAACAAGTCAAAGCTGACGGCGCACGCGTTGCTGCAGGGCTGCCGCCTTCCCGAGAGCAGGTGGGGGGTTATCATGATAAGGAAAACATGAGCGAGCTGGTGGAGGCATGTGTTGGTGGGTGTTTTTTCGGTCGAGTGTGCACCACGCACACACATATGAAGATATAACAGAGACCCCTTGTTCTCGCTTTTGGGCAGAGAGGGGGACAACAATGGCAGCAGCGGCATCGCGTTTTTTCGTATGGGGAGAAACTGCTGGGCGCTTTGCGATGCCCGCAGCAGCTCAGGTCGTGCTGACCCTCCGCTGTTTGGACAGCAGCTGTGGTACCACGCCATTTTGTGTGAACATATCGACCGTGTGACCGTGTGCGTATTTGTCGACTGCCAGTTGCATCGTTGGAAAAATACGTACGGCGTGTACCCGGTAGGTTTGGGGTTGGGGGTTGGCGAATACAGCAGCAGCGGTGTACACTGGTACACTAAGTCAGGGATTTCGATCGCTGCTGCAGGCAGGGCAAAAGCCAACCCCAACTGCCGAGCAAATCGCTACCGCCGCTGCTGTTATCAAACGATATCCGCATAGAAACCCCGATAGTAAGTGTGTGCTGCTGAAAGTGGTTCTTTACCGATTTTTCGAATGTTCGTCCATGTGTAGACACGTTGCACAGGTTGGAACAAGCCGTTTAGCTTGTCTAGCCTCTACTACAATACTCCGTATGTGAGCAGAAGCTTCCCTGTGTGGGGGCGGGAATTCGTGGTTACAACAGCAGTGGGCGGTTTATGTTCTCGATACAGAGAGACGCCGCCTTACAAATACCCTAGGAGAGAACGGTCAAGGTTTAAACCTTTTCACGATACATGTATCAACGTTGGAGATCTTCGATGTCGTTGCTCGGCTGTTGCCTACGGCCTATCCCAGCGGAACCTGAACCAACGAGTGGCTCTAGGTGTTGTTGTTGTTGTTGTTGTTGTTGTATTCTTGACGTAATAAACCGTTCCGGTCTCCGCTCAGTACCCTCCAATTTCCGTACTATAACAGTCCAACTGACGCGGACACCTTCCGTGGCCACAAAGCCAACTACAGCAGTGCATGTACCCCAAAAAGGGGGTACACTTTTCTAGAAATGATGAAAGGGTGGGACCGACGAAATAAGACACCAAACCTCGGAACTTGATGCTCAACATTGTAATATCGAAACGAAGAACTTGAGCACCATTGGCGAGTCCGGGTAAGGATCTACACTTGTTTTTTTTTGTAGCCCACAAGAGGGAGTAAGACCCCAAACCCCGGGGCAAAACACACGAAGTCCATCATGAACGCCGCTGCTCTCGCTGTATTCGATTCCAACCGCTCCTAAATATCGACACACCAAGGTGTCTTGTGGCTGCTGGTGCTGCTGCTGCAGGTTCCTGCTGGCGTACTGCTGCATTGACCTGGGCAAGCTCGCCGAGGCCGAGCGCGTTTTGCTGGAGGGGACCGGCGTGTTGCACAAGGGCCCCAAGGAAGGCCGCGACGAGATCCTGGCCGAGCCTTGTCCCATCCCTCACGGTGCCGCCGGCCTCAGGCTTCTGGGTGAGAGGGTTGTTGTTTTTAGTTGCTGCGGCTGCTGCGGTTGCTGAAGTCTTTCGTACGTACTGCTGTTGCGCTGTTATTTTTTTTAAACGCTTTTTGCATTCAAGTTCAATCACAGAAAATACTCACCGTTCGAGATACTGTATAACCACAGTCGAAGAGGGTGTGTTGGATGAAGTCACGACAGTGATTGGGAGAAAAATCGGCTGGATACCGGGCTTATCATTTTTGCCTATGTTTGTCGTTGTTGTTGTTGCTGCTCCAGTCTTCCGTGTGTAGTTCCGTGTTATGTATGTGTGGTGTACGCTCTTTTCCCCGATCATGTCTCCGTCTCCCTCAATCACCCCAGTGAGCAGACTTCCTCTCCCCTGAAGCCTACTTGACTTACTTTTCTTCATAGGCGTTTCTCACGCCTTCAGGATTATGTTGTGAGCAGACCAACAACACGGCGGTGACCGTGCCCCCCCCCCCCCCCCCCCTAACTTTTTTTTTGGGGGCCCAATTA